TCCTCTTCATAACCCAGTTCCCAGGATATTTTTACTGTGCATCATAAATTATAATACCTTTTTATTTTTGCTTTATGGCCTGTCCCCCGCCAATTCTGGTGATCTACACCCTCACCCCCCCCCCCCAGTGTTTTAGAAACAATCCCTGCCTGTCTCTCTCCTCCTCCCAACAGCTCCCCAATCTCTCTCCTTCCACCACCATCTCTTCCACTTGTCCACCCCCATGGACCAAGCTGGGCTGGGGACCTGTGGGCATCACCAGCTCGGCCAGGAGTGGACAGTGGCACCTCCAGGCTGCTGCAGAGCCTGGGGCAGGTGAATCCGTGGCCACAGCTCTGACTCACCACCCCAGCAACAGCACAGGAGGGAAATCACCACCAGGTCCTGTCAGGGCTGCACCAGCCTGGCAGGTCCCTCGAACCTCCCTGGGTGGCTGAGGCAGCCCTGACCATCCCCTTGCCCCAACAGGCCAGGTTTTGCAGCCCAGCTCCAGCTGTTCCCAAGACTGGGACAGCTCTGAGCTCAGCCTGGTCCTGCCTTTGCACAGCCCAGTCTGTGCATGGTGTTTGAGCCCTGCTTGGTTTCTGCACCAGAACCGCTCAGGAGAGGCCGTGCTGTGGGCCAGGGAGGGGATTTTGGCTCCCTTTGCACCTGAAGCTCCAAAGGGAGCACCCAGTGCAGGTGGATTGATGCAGAACCACTCCCCAGCTCCCTGCACTGTGCTGGCCAGCACCCACCTCGCTGGAGGGCTCAGGGAGGGTTCCCCAGCTCCTTTCCCTGCAAACCCCCTTCCTTTAAGGAAAGATCTGTTTGCAAACAGCGCTGGGTGGGGACCCCCCCCGGGAGAGGGGGTACAGTGGAGCAGAGTTCCTCAGTGGCCTCAGCAACCCTCCTGCAGTCCCAGCCCGGCGCTGCAGCAGGAATTCAGGCCCAAAGGAGGCAGGGAGGAGAGGTGAGTGTTTATCCCTGAGAAATGTGGAGATTTGCTGCGATGAGGCTGACTAAGAACATTACATTTGCCACGCTAAGCTGGAGAGCCTTGGGGCTTTATCGGGGCTCAGGCGCTCACTCCGTCAGGGAGAGGCTTCAGGCACGTCGGGATTTACAGGCACGGAGAGGAAAACAGCCATCCCCTGGGAAAACAGCCATCCCCTGGGAAGAGCCAGCAAGGCTGGCAGTGCAGACAGGACTATTTCCCTGTGCTAGGAGGGGTATCAGGGCAGCAACTGCTCTCCCGAGGCCCAAACGGGATTTCGAGGATTAACACAAAACCCCCATCACGGTCATTCCCATTTTCCTTCCTTTTCCATAGCACTGGGCTCAGCACCTCCTGTGGGACTTCTCTCTTGCACAGACCCCTGTGGGTGCACAGAGGGTGGGCAGGGAGGAACAGGAGCTGCTGGATGAGTGGCTACAGGCAGCTGGCAACAGGATTGGGGCTGCACTTGGCTCCCGTCCCTCCCCACCACATCGGGGCTTCTCTGGGAAAAATGAGAGTACAGGAGCAGGTTAACAGCCAGGAAAATGATTGCTAACAACACGACCAGGGGCTTGTTCCTTCCCGTTTTATTGGAGCCTGAGTGATTACTCGTAGGTACTTAAAAGGCAGGACTGTGTGTTATTGCCGGGGCTGCTCGGGAGGGACGGGAGGCTCATTAACGAGCGGCTCTCTCCGGCTGCCGGGAGCATTCCCAGGGGCCGGGCTGGAAGCAGAGCAGGTTTGAGGGAGAGTGTTGAGGCAGCAGCACGGGGGGATGGAGGAGGCTGGGAATGAACCTTCTGCTCTGCCAGCGACGCTCCAGCCAAGGCACCGCAGGGAATGAGGGGTCTGGGACAGGGAAGGGACAGGAACGGGCTGCAGGACAGCTCAGGACAAATGGCCACCTCAGCCTGGGAAAAGGAGGATGGAAGAGGCTTGTTGGTGTCTGCCAGGGGGGTTGGTGGAGAGAGTGGGTCACCTCAGCCTCGTTCAGCCCTGACACAGCAGGACTGGTGTGCACTGAGCTCAGGGGCTGCCTCTGAGCACAGCCAGGTCCGGGGGCACCAACCTGAGATGGGATGTAGAGATGGGGGCCAGAAAACAGCTCCGTGCGTGTCCCAGGACATCTTTAAACAGCTGGAGGCAGAATAAGGCCCATGGTGCCCGAGGACAGGGGGGCACAGAGGACAGGGGGGCACAGAGGCTGCGGGGCGGCCACGGGCCCTGCGGGGCGGGCAGGCTGGGCAGGGGGCGGGTGGGAACAGTGATAAATGAGTTTAATTCCTGAGCAGACACCGATGGGAGGGGGTGATTAATGGGACAGGCACATCCTCGTGGCCTCAGGAGCTCAGGGAGCTGTGTTGGCAGAGGATGGAGCAGCACGGACTGGAGGATGGGAGGTTGGGAGCTGAGCAGAGACCAGATAGCAGGGAACAACAGGCAGAGAGTCTATCTCCCTCCTGCCCACTCTGTCCCTCTGACCATCTCCCTGGGTCCTTCCCAGAGGTTCACAGGCATCATTTCTCCTGTCCTCTTCCCTCCCTCTTATCCCATCAAACACAGGCACTGGCATGGCTGGTGCTCCAGGGCCCTGTCACCCTGTCACCTTCACTCCTGCACAGAGCTCCTTACCTGGCTGATGTGCCAGCACTCACTGGCCTCTGGTCCCATCCCGTTTTGCCTCTGCCTGCAAGACCAGTGCAGAACTGGCTGAACTGGGAGCTGGACTCCTCTCCTGAGGTATCCATGCTGCAGGATCTGCACTTCCAAGAGGTGGAGCAATGCCATTGGCACTGGCTGGGCTGGAGGACCCCAAGCAGCCCATCTGGGTACCTCAGCTCATCCCTCACCCCCCTCCCTGTCTGGAGCTGCCGGTGTCCCCCTGCCCCCCCAAACATTCCTCACTCCCAGCCCTGGTCTGGATCCAGCTGGCACCTCTGACTGATCTGGAGCTGGCCCTGGGCTGCTGGGCATGTGCCAGGAGCAGCCCCTGGTGCATTGGGCACAGCAGCTGGTAGTGCTGATTAAAAACAGAGAAACCCAGCAATTATCAGGCTGTGACAGCCTGTGCTGCTGCGGGGGACAGGGCAGGGGGGCTGGCCAGCCCAGGGGGAGGCTGGGTCCCCAATCCCTCCCTGGACCCCACAACAGGACAGGGATATGCCAGAAAGCCTGTGTGTGCAGCTCCCACACCCACCGTGCCCACAGTGGGCACATTCCAAAGCCAACAGGCTCCAGGAGGTGACGCCCGAGTGTGGCTGTTCCTGGGTGTAAATCCACAGGGATCCGGCACCGCTGCTCCCGAGGATCCCTGTGCCATGCCCTGTGGGCACACAGCCAGGCAGGGACACGCCAAGCACACGTGTGTCACCGTGTGTGACATGGCTCACAGCTCCTCCCCCCTGCACGCGGGTCTGTCCTCCAGGACACGCCTGGACACACATGATGCTGCCAAGAGCCCCTGGGGAAGCCCCAGCCAGCCCTGCAGCCCCCAGGAAGGTGCAGGGACACCCCTGCAGCCCCTGCAGCCCCCAGGGAGGTGCAGGGACACCCCTGCAGCCCCTGCAGCCCCCAGGGAAGCACAGGGACACCCCTGCAGCCCCTGCAGCCCCCAGGGAAGCACAGGGACACCCCTGCAGCCCCTGCAGCCCCCAGGGAAGCACAGGGACACCCCTGCAGCCCCTGCAGCCCCTAGGGAAGCACAGGGACACCCCTGCAGCCCCCCTGCTCCTGCAGCCCCCTGTGCCTGTGTGTGCCCGTGGAGCCCTGAGCAGCCCCCCCCAGCCCGGCCTCCTCATTAATATCCACGGCTTGAATTATTTATTACAAACAGATGTTAGAGTTTAAAGAGTGTTAAGAGGATATCCTTGGCTAATCAATTTGGTTTTAACTAGTTTATGTATTTATTACCACCAGAATTTGGACTTCAGCTGCCATTTGGAATTATCCCTCATCCATCACCGTGCTGAACGTGCTGCTTGGATGCCTGTGCATGTCCCTGGGGACCACGAGTGAGCCACAAACCTGCTGTCTGCTGGCCATGGACTGGGCTTGCCTATTCCCTCATTTCCAAACACTGCACTGAGCTGGAATGCTCTGTGAACTCCCCAAAATTAAGTTTTGCACTGTGGGCAGCAGCCAGACTGGGCCAGGGGAGCAAAGGGTCTCCTTGGAAAGGTGGGGCAGGGAGGAGAGAGATGTTGGGGACAAGTAGAAGAACTCCAGGCCCCAGGGGAAGGACAGGGAGATGGACTCTCAATGCTGCACCACCCTGAGTTCCAGGTGCCCCTCTGGGAGCACCTCTAGATGCTCCCAATTCACATCTCTGGGAATGTGGCCCATAAAATGCCCTGGAGGTAATTCTGGGATGAGATCAAGCAAATGAAGCAGGTGTAGTTTGTGCCCCACGGTTGCCTTGTGCCAACAGGAGGAACCCCAGGTGTTCTCCAACCCCTTTAACAACTCAGGAAGCAGGAGCAGGGATAAGGGAGCATCCTCCGGGCTCCAGCCATGGCCAGGGGCTCCCAGTCCCACACTGTCTGTCACAGCCTCTGCTGCACCCTCAGCCTGTGCTGGGACACGTTTGGCAGACACAGGCCCCAAAGCATGAGGGCACAAAGGCAGCTGGTGTGAGCCCAGCCCACGGGCACAGCCACCACTGCTGCTCTGCCACTCCCTGCCACAGCCACCCCAAACCCCCGGGGAATCCAAGGGATCCCCGAGCCAGTCCATCACCCTCTGAGAAGCACCAGATTCTTAAAGAACCTGTCAGCCAGGAGAGACTCAAACAACATTTCAGCTTGTCACCATTCCCAAGAGATATTGGGGAAAAAACAAGAAGGGGAGATGCTGTAGGAGGAAGAAGATAAATGGTGCTGGGAAGGAGGAGGAGGAAGGAGAGAGATGGGAGACAAAAAAGCAAGGAGGGGGTGAAGCTGTGCTTGGAGCACAGCAATTAAAGCCACCCTGAGCTCACCCAATTAAACCGACTGGAGAGAAGAGGAATCCCAAAGGATAATTTCTCGGCAAATTGCTCGTTTGTCTCTCAGTCTCTGATGCTGGAACGCTTCGTGTCAGTCAAGCCATGGAGCTGAGCCCTGGGGATGAGAGAGATGTTGGTAATTTAGCAGGCAAAAGGCATTGCTTCCTAGAAACTTCCTCAAAAGTGCCATAAATCCAAGTAAACCTTATCCAGAGCTTCTACACAGCAGTGAGAGCAGGAGGGATGGGGATGGATGGAGCACCCTAACCCTTCCTGGTCTCTGGATGGGCTTTCTGCCACATCACTCCTGTGTGTGCATCCTGAGGGAAAGCCTCCCCCTCCAGGGAGCAGCAGGACAGTGTCTCCAGGCCCAGGACACAGCGTGTGCTGCTGTCCATCCCTCTGCACAGAGCTCCCCAACCACCCTCACACTGCTCCTGCTCCTGCTCCTGCTGCTCCTGCAGCCTGGCAGTGAAGCCAGAGGCAAACACAGACTGGGAGATTTCCTGCTCACTGCCCAGGGCTGGGTGGGTGTTAAACCCAGAGCTGTGGGGATCAGGGAGTGCTGGACACGGCTGAGCAGCAGAGAGTTCTGCCTCAGAGAGTGCCCAGGAGGTCAGAGGAGACACAGAACTGCAGAGTGTCCAGAGCAAAGCTCAAATCATGGGGCAAAGGGAGGAGACAGAGCTCGGAGAAGCAGCTTCAGCTCCAAGAAAACCAAACCTACCCACGAAAGAGCAAGACCTGCAAAGTGATGACTTCACTGCAGGGGCTGAGGAGCTCTGAACACCCAGGGGATGGGGGAGAGCTGGGTGAGACCCCTGGACACCCAGGGGAGGGGTGTGAGCTGGGTGAGACCCCTGGACACCCAGGGGAGGGGTGTGAGCTGGGTGAGACCCCTGGACACCCAGGGGATGGGGGAGAGCTGGGTGAGACCCCTGGACACCCAGGAGGTGAGGGAGAGCTGGGTTGGACCCTGGGCCTCACTGGGTTCATCCAGGTTTCTCCCAGCAGCTCACACTGGGGGGAGTCCACAGCGGGGGGACCACTGGGCAGCCCCCAGTCCAGTCCCCACTCCCCGTTCCCTGTTCCCCAGCCCTGTTCCCCCCCTTCCCAGCCCTCCTTCCCTGCACAGACCAGCAGGCTCCAGCTGCTTTGCCAGCACCGAGTGCCGGGCAGTCAATCAGAGCATCAGCCTGGAAGTGTTGAAGGCCCGTGTCTGTCTTCATTACAGAGCCAGCTCTCCCCCCGTCCCCGCCTGTGCCCCGCTGCCGCAGGATTTTGCGCATGATTTCCCTCCCGCTGCCGGAGGCGCTGCAGCCGCTGCTCCACCACTGCTCCGGGGCTCTGCTCACGTTTGCAGTTCAGCCTCCTTTTATACCGACTTCTCTGTGTTTGTTCTCCTTTTGCCTCACCGAGTGGTTCCCCCTCCGCGGCCGGTTGTGCCTCCGCTGACCCTCAGCCCAGAAGGGCACGAGGAGGTTCCTGACCCGGGGTCTGAGGGGGCTCAGAGCTGCTGGGGCTGGAGGTGACACCCCTGGGCTGAAAGGAGGATCCAGTCTTGTCGGCAATTCGCCACGATCGTGGGATTCATCCCCCGGGCTCCTCTGCTCTCCCTCTGGCCCCCAAAATACCCAGGACATAGCCCAGAGCCCCTCCCATCCTGCTGCCTGCTCAGAGGGGAGGAAAAAGCCCTTTTCAATAGGCAGCTGAGCCTGAGTGACTGCAAAGAGCTCAGGAAATAATAATAAATGTGGGGATGATCCATGGAAACTTGACTAAGGCAGGAGAGATCCCCCAGGAGCTCCACAAACCCGGGGCTGCTCTGCCTGACCCTGATGGAGGCACCCAGGGGTGCAGCGTGGTGGGGATGGGCTGCTCATGGCACACCCACGGATGGGATGGCCCAGTGGGGTACCCAAGGATGCCCATCCAAGGATGTGCTCTGACAGCATGAGGGCACAACGTTAAAAACCCCTCACCTTTATTCACCTGTCCCTGCTGCACTGTCCCTTGGGGGCAAACCCAAGTGTTGCAGGAGATTAATGACCTTAGAAAAATGTAATTACACAACAGGGCTCTGCCGTTAATAACTGCGTATTTTCCTTGTCAATGTGCCCTAATTGAAAATGAGTGGGCGCCTCGTGCGTGGCAGTGGAGTTGGCTGGAGCCTTGACTGGAGCCTTAATGTTGTATTAATTGTAGTAATTAGCAGTCACTTTAGGTTGGAGTCAGCTATAAATAGGGGGTCCATCAGTTTAGCAGAGAGTGTGATTTAAAATGCAAATAACCCCCCAACTATACATATCTATCACTTCTTTCCCCCTGCCCCCCAGACCTGCAGTCGGGAAGGGCTGTGATGCTGCTCTGGTGAGTTTGGTTTCTGAAGGGAAGTGGTTCCCTTGTTTGTCATCACAGGAGCAGCTCAGATGGTCTCAGCAGCCCAAGGACACCCCAGCACAGGGCTCTGTCCCCAGCAGTGACTTTGCTGGTGCTCCCACAGCTGAGGACCCTGCCAGGCTGCTGGGGGTGATGGGCAGCCCCTGACCCAGCCTCCCACAGAAGGTGCTGCATAAATCCCAAGAGCCACGTGGCAAAGAGCAGAAACCCACAACACAAAGCCAAGTGCCCTTCTCTGCCCTGGAGCAGGGACAACCTTTTGGGGGAGAAAACCCACCCAAGAGCCCTAAAGACCCAGGAAAAGGGAAGAGGAGCTGCAGGCAGAGTGAGGCACCACGGCAGGGCGGGGATCCCACGGCCCCAGTCACATTCCCGAGCTCAGCCCCTCCATGACACGCTTCATTTACCTGATTATTACCAGAGGAAGGACAAGTGAGAGAGGAAGAAGGAATAATCTCTTATTAATGCAGAATCACTAAATTACAGCCTGTACAACCAGGGACAAAGCAACGCGCTAAAATAAAATCCTGGCTCCAAAAATGCCCAAAGCAGAGCTATTAAAAATTTAAAAGCAAACACAAAAAATGCCTTTTCACTGCTGGCCAGCTCTTAATTTAACAGAGACCATCAGACCCCCCTCCCCTGCTGGCACAGCCCTGCCTGCTGCTGGGGCACGGAGCTATTCCTGCACAGCAATCCCTGAGCAGGAAACAAGGATCTTGAGGGGGGAAAAAAGGAGGGGGGAAAAAAAGGGAAAAGCAGGTGACCCCTTTCAAACCCCTTCAAACTGCAGGTGACCCCCTCTCCGTGCCTGGGGCAATGCCACCCACCTCTGGCTTAAGGGAGACGAGGAGCAAAGCCCTGGAGCTGGGGGAGCTGGACTGACAGCACTGGAGCCAGAGTTTCTTATCAGGATTCTTGCTAAATCTCGAGAAAACCCCACACAGGGCTCTGGTTTGCTCTCACATGCAGAGCAGGGATTTGCCTTCCAGAGTGTCCTCTGCTTCAGTCCCGTCTGAAGGTTCCTTGGAGCATCCACAGGAAAGGCCAGAGCAAAGCTGGATATTTGTACATCCATCGGTGGCTTTGCCCCTGGCAGGCAGCTGGAATCATCACATGGTGAACAGCTGGGAGGAGACAATCAAGAAACAGGGGTTTCTTCACAAAATTCTTCCCCAGACCTGGAAGAGGAATTCAAGGTTCATCAGAGACATCAATGCTCAAACCAGGTGACGGGTCTGATGCTGCACAGGGCCTTCTCTGCAGGAATTAAAGAAGAACCTGGGATTTACACAGCTAAAAACCCCCTCATGTGTGAAACCTGGGATTTACATGGCTAAAAGCCCCCTCAGGGATGAGACCTTCGAGGGATGTGGCTTCCCCCAACCCTCCTGCCAACGTGCTCTGGGCAGAGCAGGCTGTGCTCTGAGAGCTGCCTCTCAACACTCTGCTTATCATAAGAGGGACGGGGGGAAAAACAGATGAAATAACATGAAAATAAATACAGAAACAACTTCGGCATGGAAGGCAAAGCAGGTCTGATCTTTTGCTTGACTTGTTCTGAAAATTGCTTCTCCACTGCCCGTTTATGCACATTAATTGAACGTCTGGCCCGGCTGCCCGTCTGTTTAAGCCCTCAGTCAATCCCCTCCTGGATGGCTGCGAGATCAATAGGGTGGTAATTTAATAAAGGACACTTTCAGTTGGCTTTAAAAGCCACTGACAGGATTTAATTCTTTCCTGTTTTTAAGAAGGGGCAGTGGCAGAGGAGGACTGGGGTCAAACCACGACCCAGGCCCTCCCCCCAGCAGCCTCCTCCAGACCAGGCTGCTGTGAACCCTCAGCCCTCCTGGGCCTTCCTCATCCTTCCCGAGACGTGGCACAGTGCCTGGGACCAACTCAACAGCCCTGGCGTGACCCTGCTGCTTCCCAGAGCTCCTACAGGCTGGCAGCGATTTCTAGGAATCGAGTTTTAGGATGGTGCACCTCCCAGGAGCAGCCCAGGGAGCCCCAGGAGCCCTGGGAGCCCAGCCCATCCTCTCCCTCCCCAGAGCAGTGTGACTGCAGGGGACAGCACTGCTGGGACAGGCAAGAGCAGCCACAGCTGTCCCCACGTTCCAAGCCTGCCCTGCGTTGGCAGCACTAGGATCAGTCCTCCGGCCTCTCCAGGGATCCCAGGGCAAGGCAGGCGTCCAGCCAGAGCTCCCAAGTGCTGGGAATGACACGTGGGGCTTTTTCCAGGTGAGGAAGCTGCCAAGTTCAAAGCAGCTGTTGATGCCTCAGGTGATCTGTCCCTTGCAAGAGCTTTATCCAAGGAAGTGCCAGGCCCACACTGGATGTTTCATCGCCGGGCTGAAAAACCAGAGGCAGAACAGCTCCTTTGGATTCATGGAGCGTGTGCACCAGGGCTTTGCCAGGCAGGAATTAACATCCTCCTGCCTCCTCCAGCCCCTGTGCCCTTGTGCTGCTGGGTTCCAGCCCAGAACCGGTCCCAGCTGCCCTCAGATGCGTGTCAGCCTCCTGTTCCAGTTCCTGCAGCTCTCCCTCCCCAGCCCTGCACGGTTCAGTGGGGAAAGCACCAGCCTGCACCTCCAGCCCTGTTTAATTTCCTCTAATCGCTTTCTTCACAGCCATCCTCTCTAAACCCTTTATCTTCCTCCAGGCTGCAATTCCCTCCCTTTGCTGCTTCTCCATTTCCTCTCTGTGATGCTTTGCCCACAGCCATCTGAATTCCAGTGGTTTAACCAGTGCCATGCTGGGAGAGGATCACGTCCCTGTCCCTTGCTCAGGGATTATGTCTCAGTCCTGGCCACGTGTCCCAGGACTGCCTTTCCCTGCTGATTCGTCCCAGAGGCCACACCAGACCCACTCAGCCCGTGCTGGTTCTGTCCATCCCCACTCAGTGTGATTAATGCTCTCTTGGCTTCACACCCCTCAGTGCTGCACCCACCTCCTGCCCTGGCTGTGCTGGCCTGTGCCCATGGGCAGAGCATTCCTGCCACCACAGGGTGCCCAGGGCTGTTCCTGGACAGAGGCTCTGGGCAGACACTCTCCTGTGCTCTGGAGCAGCAGCCCATGCAGGAGAGAAGCTGGAAGAGCCCAAACCTATAAATAAAAGACATGAATTAAACATGACTCTTGCATTTTCAAGGGTCAGATGAATATTCGGTCACTTAGCAATATCATCTACTCCCACGAGGGAAAGGGAATAACAATAAGTGTTTGTCATCACTTGTTGTTTCTCAAGTGACACTTTGAAGGGACAAACCTCACCCTGCTGTGAGTGTGGGGGCAGAGTCTGGCTCCACCAACCCGCTCTGAAAAAGGCAGGTGACAACTGTCCCAGTTTTAAAGCTGGGCAGAAATGGTCTCAAAGATGCTCAATGGATTTGCCACACTTTGGCAGAGGCAGGATTGCAGCCCAGCCTCCTGCTTCCCAGGCAGGGATAACACCACCAACACAGCTCCAAGGACAACAGGGATCCCCCTTCATTTGGTACCTGATGGACCCTGCGATGGTTCCCAAATTCCAGGTGCTCCTCTGGAACCTCACACTCCCCAGCTTTCCATCAGTTGCTCGAACCACCCTCCCAGCACACTGGGCTGCAGGTGCCTGTCCCACTCCCCAAACTCCAACGGCCCGTCAGGAGCACGAGCAGACAGAGGGCAATGGACTGAGGATGATTCTCTGCCCCTCTGCAGTTGCTACAAATCACAGCCAGATTTTTCACTGCCAGGCTTGGGGCAGGTGGGAAGGGACCAGCTCAAGCTCCCCACACCTGAGACTCCCCCATCCTGCTGAGACCAAGTCACTTCAGACAACCACAGCAGCACAGAATGGCTTGGGCTGGAAGGGACCTTAAGAATCATCTCGTTCCAAGCCCCTGCCATGGGCAGGGAAACTTCCACAGGCCCAGGGAACCTCCCACAGCTCCACGGGAGCTCATCAGTGGAGATGAAGCCAGGAAAGCCAGAGCTGCACTCCCAGCCTGGCACTCCTGGTGTTTGTGTTTCTCCCAAGCACAAGAAGCTCCTTCAGGTGATGCTGAGGCTTCGAGGATGGAACTGGCCCTGAGCTGGGGACTCCTGGACCCTGGGAGTGCTTCCTGCTCTGCCCCACCACCACCATCAGAGCCAGACACACCCCAGACGGGCTCTGATTGTTTTAATCGTTTTTAACACAAGTGCAAATTTGGATAACACAGGGAACCACCTATTCATCTGCTCACAGGACTGCTCTTTCCTCTGTCGCTCTCTGTGCAGGAGGAATTTCACATAACATCATAATTCCTTTGGGTTTATTTACTTACAGGTATCAGACTGATTTAATTCCTGGTCTCCTTAATTGGCCCCACTGTTAATACCAGCTCACAGCCTCTGCTTCTCAGCGGCCCCGTTGCTCTCGCTGCAGCAGCCACCACCTCCTTCTCCTCCTCCTGTCACAAATATCCCAGAGCCAGAGATTCCTGTGGAATGTGGGACCCCCGGGTGTGCAGAGGGTCAGCAGCGACCCGGGACTGAAGCTGCAACTAAGAACAGCAAAGGCATGACAAGATGTTCACCCCAAACCACCCTGGTGCCTTGGGATGCACTGAGGGATGTGTCCCAGGCCACTGGAGAGTCGTTTGATTTTTAAAATAATAAATACTGAGCAAAAGTGGGTGTTACTGAGAGCAAGGGGAACTTCAGGCTTCATCAGGAATTAAGCCTTTGGTCCTGGAACCCCCTGCCCAGGCACTGTAAATGTTCCCAACCCCTGAGCTGGCCCAGGTTAGAGCTCCAGCAGCCCCTGGGATGCTGGTGGCTCGGGAGGATCCAGCACAGGCTGTGGGATGCAGCACCTCCCCTGCCAGGGTTCCAGGCTGGCCTGGCAGATGCTCTGAGCACAAACCTGCAGGCACATGGAGCCTTCCCAGTCTCAGGCTCCCAAAAAGACCTTCAGAGTGAGGAGCACTGTCAACAAATGTATTTAAATTACAAAAAAAACTCCAAACCCAAACCTGATGTGCTTTTAAATTGGAAAATAAATTATTCGCACAGAGGACAGAACAGAAAATTATTAAAATCTATGTAGCTTCCCACTCTTTCCTCCCAAAATTAGGAGGCTGAATGCTCAGCTGGGGTAAATCTCCTCTAAGTGACATTCATCTTCATGGTCCTGCCCTGATTTACACCACCAGAGAAATTGGCTTCCTCTTTGCCTGGGTCTCTCTGCATATCTGTCCTGTGAGAATAAATAAATAAAACTTGAATAAAAATATTCATCCACCATTCATTCTGCTTAATTATTTAAACTTCAGATTCTGGAAATAATAAAGGAGTAATAAAGAAGAGATTTACCATCCGCCACAATTGCTGGGAGCATCCCGGGTAATTTCCTCCTTCACTTTTTAATCTCTCTCTTTTGCTTTCTTTTTGCCTCGCCAAATTGAATCAATTTATTAAAGTTGTTGCCAAACTGCTCTGCTCTGCTCTGTTGGTGGTGATGAAGAGGAATGGGCTGCTCTGTCCCCCCCAGAGCCCCCTCCTGAGGAAGGATGGCACTTTGCCACACGCCTGGGTGGGGAGGACTGAGCAAAGCCAGGCAGGACTTTAGAACGACACCACGGTGAGGGATGGGGGGAAGGACCCAGCCAAGAGATCCCAGCTCCTAAACACAGGCTGCAGAAGACAAACTCCTAGAGAAACCTGGCTGAGCTTCCACAGCCACCTCAGGAAGTTGGGATGGGCTCAGTCCCCACGTCCTCCCCAGAGGTGGCTGCCCTGGGACCCTCGGGCAGCTCCCGCCTCTCCTCCTCCTCTTCCTCCTCCTCCTCCTCCCCCGGTTCCCCGACCTGTTTTCCCGAGCCTGCGTGTGCCGGGTGCCCTCAGAGTGACTGGAGCCATGTGCTGCAGATCCCAGATCCCACAGGTTCCTCCAGCTCCACAGGAACAGGCAGTGAAGTGTCAGCACTCACACGTCACACGAGGCACTTCGCTACCAGAGCCAGGGCAGAGCTGCCACCTCCGCCCGGCAGCCCCTGGGTCCTGCTCGGTGGGGGACAGACCAGCCCTCAGGATGCCTCCAGAGGGAGAAAGGAACCCGTTCCTGCCCTCCCTGCTCCTGCCAGCACGGTCCTGCCTCTGTGGGAGAAGCGGCTCAGCCCCTTCCAGCAGGGCTGACAGCAGGGGCTGCCTGTCCTGGCCCAGCAGGGCAGTCTGGAGGCGTCAGCTCAAGGGAGAAGCAGAAACAGGCAGATGACAGAGCTTTCCAAAGCTGTAAATTCCACCCAGGGTCCCTTTTTGCTGTGCTGAAGGAATCAGCACGAGCACCGCATCCTGATTTTGGAAACAGTTTCAACCAAACACACCGTTCAAAAGAGCAGCAAGGCAGTCCCAGGGGACAGGTACCAGCCAAAACAGTGAACAGATTAAAAGCTGTGGATAAGATCACAGACCCTGAGTCTCCCAGACCCCAATCCCCACGTCTCCAGCACCAAAGGCTGAACAAACAAACCACAACCCAGCCAAGGGTGTGCCAGGGCTGGGGACCCCCCGTCCCACACCTTCCCTCCAGCTCACTGCTAGGTCGTCTTCCCTCTTCCCAGAGCCACTGAAATAAATTAAAGATGAAAAAGACAGGAAAATTATTCACCATGGAGATTTGGAGAGACAGCAACTAATTAATAAAAATAAGTATTGCTAATACCAGGCTTTTATACAGCCTTTTAAATTGCAAATTCCTCTTGAAGCGGGTATTATTAATTAAATCATTTGCATCCACTATGGCACCAATATATAATTATTTATCCTGATAAATAATTTTTTATTTATCCTGACAAATAATTTTTTTATGCTGATAAATGATTGGTGGGGAAATGTAGGGCTGCACCAGACTGGCAATAAGGTCTTTCCAGCGACTGGCCTGAGTCTGCTCCTGCACAGCCTTGTCTGTCTCAATCAGCCTCAGCCTTAACCCCCCAAAGGGCAGGTGCAGCTGATCTCCAGCTTCTGTGAACGCAAACAACAGTTCTCCATCCCCCCTCCTTCCCCAGACACGCCGTGGGTTTGGGGGAGCCAAGGCAGAGGGGATGTGCACGTTGTGCAGCAGTGCCCAGCTCACAGCCAGATGGGTGGCTGGGCTCTGTCCTTCCAAATCCCACCAGAGACCCCAGATCCTCACCTGTCATCCTCACATCCTGAAAGACTTTAAATGGTCAGAGGAAGGATCTGTCGTGCCTTGCTGCTGCAGGGATGGAGAAGATGAGCTGGGGGTTGTGGGGGCTCTGCTGTCCCTTGGCTCCTGCCAGACCCTGAACAGACCTGGGGCATAGACGAGTTCTCCACTGCCTGAAAAACCAAGGACAGCTCCTGAGTTGGAGGAAGGAGGTAAAACCAAGTAGGAATTCCCTCCATGAACCATCAGCCCCCCTTCCCCACCCCAGTGCTCAGTGTCCTGGGGGAGCTCTATCCAGGCCCCAAATTCCCCAAAGGGGAGGACCAGACGAGGACACATCCTCGAGTTTCTCTTTGGAAACCAAATCCTTGCCCATCCCTCTGTTCTGCAGAATTAATGACCAGGGAGGGAGGAGCCCCACTGTCTCAATGTACCCACCCCATGGCCCCACACACAGCCCAGGGAATGCACCCACCCCACGGCCCCACAGCACAGCCCAGCTCCCTGGAGGGGAAGGGAGGGAAGGCAGCTCTGGATTCCAGCCTGGAGGGCCTGGCTGAAAAATGCCACTGTGCTTCCCCAGCTGCTCCTCACCCATCAGACTCGTCTGGTCTCGAGTGTCCTCACCAGCAGTGATCCATCACTGGGATTCCTCCACGTGGGAGCCACAGCTCCTGCCTGGGAGGCTGATGCAGAGGAGGGCTGTGAGGCAGGATCCTTGCCTCCACTTCTCCAGAACACAGGGAAGCTGCAGAAAACAAGACAGACAGACAGAGGGGACAGCACTCAGCACCTGCTCTTGCTCCTGTGGTCCCACTGCAGCCACCTCCCAGCAGCCACCCCGGGCTTAAAAACGTCTGTTTGCAGGAACTGCAGAGCCAGTACCAGGAATCCCTGCTCTGGAAATTAAAATACAGCTCTGGTGGAAGCTGTTCTCCCTCAGCTCCTCAGCTGTAACAAACCTCCTACAATCAATTGCTTTTTGGCACACTCCACCCGGGGGAAAGAAACGAAACCCCAAAACAAACAAACAAACCAAACAACCAAAAAACAAACACGGGGAAAACCCAACCAAACAAAAAAAACCAACCAAACAAACAAAAAAACCCAACCAAACAAATCCCAGCCCAGCACAAAACAGATTGATCCCGTCAGTGACAGGGAAAAGCCACCCAACAGAATCACAGAGCGAGAAGTTACAAACCAGCAAGAGGTGACAAGTAATTATAGAACAGGGAAATGCAGAGGGAACTCATTTGAGTGAGCAGCAACTGATTAACGGGCCCAACATTTATTTTCTTTATTTATGGCCTGGCATCGCAGAAAATTGATACAGAACAGCCCATATACAACAGGGCTGCTGACACGCTCAGCAAATGAAGAGTCTGGAAGAAATCAAGCTGAATTATACCTGCTGTTACTCAGCCCCCCCTCGCCTCTCCCATCTTTCAGAGGAAGGTGTGGGGGTGACACAGCACCGTGTGCTGTCCCGGCATCCCCCAGCACGAGGGGACCAGCCAGGGCACACCCTCGTCCCATCCCCTCCTGGCTGCTGGCCCTGCAGACCCTGCAGCTCCTTGGCAGCGACGTGTCCCCATCCAGGCCATGCTCTGAGATTTCCCTGTGCCTCAGAGCTCAGCAGCTGCTCTGCCAAATCCTCCTCCAAACCATCTCCCCACTGCAGCGTGGAGGTTAATTGGGGTGGGATTTAGCCCATGACCCTCCCACCTGAACACCCGGGCACTGACAGAGGCCCTTGAATAGGAAGCGATCCCCCTCCTCCCTCTGCTTTCACCTCACTGAAGAGCATTAAACACTAAAATGAACGTTTGAGCTTTCTGCCCTCTGAGGAGAAAGCAGCAGCAGCTCCGGGGGAAAAGCAGGAATGTGCTGCAGCCCATCCTCAGGGAACCAGGGATGGAGCACGAAGCTCACACCCGACTGCACTCCCCCCCTCTAAACCCTCGAATCCAAGGAGAGCCGCCCCATTCCCAGGATAAAAGCAGGACCATGAAAGGCTCCCGATGGCTCAATCAGCCGGTTCAAGGCTGTGCCCACAGGCAGCTCTTCCCAGGGATGAAAGGTGGCAGCAGCTTTGATGGAAAACTCACTGCCTGCCAACAAACAGGACTGCAAGGAGATGGCACCTTCCAGAGGGTGCTCCTGGGGACAGGGGGGCCTGGGCACCCCCGGGCAGTGGGGAGGGGAGAGGGCTCTGTGGGTGGGCTCAGGAGAGAACAGGCTCCATCACTGGGAGACCCAGAGGAACAGGCTCCATCACCCAGAGGAACAGGCTCCATCACCCACAGACCCAGAGGAACAGGCTCCATCACCCAGAGGAACAGGCTCCATCACCCACAGACCCAGAGGAACAGGCTCCACCACCCAGAGGAACAGGCTCCATCACCCACAGACCCAGAGGAACAGGCTCCACCACCCAGAGGAACAGGCCCCACTGCCACAAGTTTTCAGTTGGAAAACGGCTTTTTATAGAAACTTCTCAACAGCGGTAAAAGTTCACTCCGTTTGGAAGGGCAGAAGCTCTCCAGGTGCTCAGAACAGACCATCTCCTCCTGGTTTGCCTCCCCAAGTGCCAGCTCTCCTCAAGATCTCGTGCTTTGTGCTGGAGCCTCAACGGCGTCAGTACAAAGAGGAACTGAAAGGAGAAAAGCTTCAAATTCGTTAAGAACAGAACACCCCAGTTCATGCCCAACAGGTTTAAAAATGTATAATTCCCTTACATTCTCTGCTCTACAAACGTTTCCCTCTGCTCCCATTTCCCTATGAGGGGAGTTTCCCAGTTTCACCACGTCTGTACCTGCCCCCCCTTTGCTCAGGTGTTGACAGGTACCTTTCTCTGTGCCAGAGCACATTCCCTGGTCTCCTCTGTGCCACCTCCACTCTGCTGCTCATGCCAGGGCTGCTCGGATGTGGTCAGCACCATGGAGGAGTCCGGGATGCTCCAGCACACAGCAGGTACCACCTGTGAGCAAAGAAGTGACATTATTAGCTCCCAGTTTGAGCAGGATAAGTAAAATCCCCTCTAGTAGCCTCCCCTTGAGCTCAGTAAAGCCCTGAGTGCCCCTTTAAGAGGGACGTTCAGTTATGAAACACAGTTGATTTAAATGCAAATTACCGAAAAAATACAACTTTCTTTATTAAAATGTAAATTGCACTTCAAGGCGCTGTCTGAGCTCGTCTCCAGCTCCAGCCACAGCCCCTGGACGTGTCAGTGCCAACAGCACCCACACCCTGTGCCCCCACCTCGGTGTTTGGATGGGGGACAGGGTGCCAGCACTGCTGAGGGGTCGGGGTGTCCTGGGGGAGCCTCTTCCAGCCCGACCCGCTCCAAGGTGTCAGAGTGTCACTCTGCAGATCATCTGTCCCAGGACTGCTTTGCTGAAGGGAATAATTATTGTTTTCTTATTTCCTGAGATCTTTTCATGTAACTTGTTCCTACGGGAATGGAAAAGTTTAAAAAAAAAAAAAAAGGCAAGCAGGCCATCCCCTTGTTCTTCCCCAGGATTCTGGATTTTTGGGACACTTGTGGCCTGAGGCAGAGATTCTCAGGCAATTCCTCCCTTGCATAGTTCCCCAAAACACCCCATCCTGTGTGACACCAACCAACCTGCCCACAGGCACTTTCCCAACTCCTCCAGGAAGCCCTGGCTGTTGCCTTCAGCCACCAGCTGGCTCGAGTTGCTGGAAGATCATTAAGGATAGCAGGGACTGAAAAAGTCCCAAGTGGTTATTCTCTCCCATAAGGCCATTCCCCCAGGAGAGCATTTAATTGCCTTTTGAAGGATCCCACAGCCTCTGCAGAGCCTTCCTGACCACCCAACCATCCTGGCATTTATTCGTCCACGGGGCCTGACTTGAACTTTGTTTTCCCTTCACTTCCCATTACTGTTCCCCTAATCCTCTCCTCCAGCCCTTTCCCGTCCTTCATCCTGCATCTCTCACTCTGTCCTTCCTCCCTCTGCCTTTCGAGCATCCCTGCTCTGCTCCTCTCACGGGAAATGTCACTGTGAGACACAGGGAGGCTGAGACAGCCCCGAGACCAACCCTGCCTGTGAACAGCCCCGAGACCAACCCTGCCTGTGAACAGCCCCGAGACCAACCCTGCCTGTGAACAGCCCTGAGACCAACCCTGCCTGTGAACAGCCCCGAGACCAACCCTGCCTGTGAACAGCCCCGAGACCAACCCTGCCTGTGAACAGCCCCGAGACCAACCCTGCCTGTGAACAGCCCCGAGACCAACCCTGCCTGTGAACAGCCCCGAGACCAACCCTGCCTGTGAACAGCCCCGAGACCAACCCTGCCTGTGAACAGCCCCGAGACCAACCCTGCCTGTGAACAGCCCCGAGCACAGGGGGGGAGCCAGGCTGGGGCCAGCAGGACACAGCAAATCTGTCCTGAACCACCCGAGAAGGGGCTGCCCCTGCTGCTCCACCAGGGCAGGACCAACCCCTCAGCCTGGCCTGGGGGCAGCTGGTTCTGTCCTGGCCCCTCTGCCACCTCCCAGGGTTTGCAGCAGTGGTGCTGGGGAGGGGAGGCAGGTGCTGCTCCCTCACCACGGACACAAACCTGTGCTGGCTGTTATGGGACTCCAAAGAACCAAACTGGGAGAGCACCACAGGAGAACAACTTTCTTACTTTCAACTGCTTTGCTTAAGTTATTTAAAAATGTTTGTGTGGCAAACCCAAGGACCAAAGGGCCCCGTGAAGCCCCCACACCTCTGTGCGACTCTGGAGGAAGTTTTGGCGAGTGAAGCCCCCTGGAGCTGCCCTACAGGTCACACTCCCTGTCCTCCACCCTGTCCTTGCACACCAGCACCATTTAATCACCATTTGGTATTTAACATCCAGCATAACGGGCTCATCGTCAGGCACATGGCAGCTCCATGAGGCATCACTTCATCCATCATTGTCTCTCTGGCTGTCTCTCCTACCTCCCAGGCAGCATTCCTGCACCTCCCAAAAAGCCACCAAGCCACTGAGCAGGCTCTGAGCCAGCACAAAAGTTACAGCTCCTGAAGAATGAGCCGGACTTGCTGTTCCCTAAACAGGCCCCGTCTGCTGCTCGCAGAGCTGATATATTTATTTTCATTAAATTTAATCCAGGGATATTCTTCTCCTCCCACCTTCCCTCCAGTCCGGCTGCTGAAGCAGCAGGGCTCGGGAAAGGAGCCACCTTCCAGTTGATTTCTCATTCAGCAAAGCCAGGTCTGTGTTCCTGTCCCATTTAATTAGCACAAGAGAGAACTGGGCTGCACAGAACGGCCTCACCACACCCTGTGGAGCTGCTGCCTCCACGCAGGAACAGCAGCCCCGGGTCAGGCACAGCCTCCCCCACCCCAACACCCCTCTCCTCCCCCCAACCCCCGCGCCAGCGAAGCCACCGTCCCCAGCAAGAGCAGAGATGCTCCAAACTCCTGCCACAGATCTGCTGCCAGGCTGCAGCTCCTCCCAGCCCTGGAGATGAATTGCAGCAGCTCTCCCTACCTGTCACCGCCGCTCCCAGGTGGCAGGATCTGAGTCACAAGTGAAATATGTCTCCATCCTCCCCCTTCCCTGCACCTGGCGTGAAACAACCCTAAATCACCTCCCTCCCTGCTGCGCCCATCACCCCACGGGCTGCAGTGACAGGGGGAGGGCTGAGGCACCTTCTGTGACCAGGGATAAAACCAATCACAATCAGAGCCAGAGAAACTCTGGGGTCACCTCGATGCCCAGGCCAAGGTTCAGCCAAGACGAGCCGCCTGTGGGGCTTTGGTGGAGCTGGCAGAGCTGGGTGGGCACAGCACAGGGGCTTTGGTGGAGCTGGCAGAGCTGGGTGGGCACAGCACAGGGGCTTTGGTGGAGCTGGCAGAGCTGGGTGGGCACAGCACAGGGGCTTTGGTGGAGCTGGCAGAGCTGGGTGGGCACAGCACAGGGGCTTTGGTGGAGCTGGCAGAGCTGGGTGGGCACAGCACAGGGGCGTTGGTGGAGCTGGCAGAGCTGGGTGGGCACAGCACAGGGGTGCAGCCAGTGGGAGCATCTCAGGGTCTGCTGCTCCAGCCATGGAGGATTTAGGGGACCCAGCATCATTGCCCTGTCACAGGGTGCTGGAACAGCCCTTGGTCCCTGAGCAGGACGTGCAGCCCCTTCACTGAGCAATGCTCTGCAGGGCCAGGGCAAGGGAAGGAGGGGAAGTTTCAGGGCAAGACAGAATAAAATACTTGTGTAATCAGGGCTGAATTATGCAACATAAGTTACAGGGGAAATATCCTTAAAGACTAAATTTCCCATTGTGAGGAATCACTCCCTGTTTAGAACACACTAATTATCCCTTAAACAAGGATGAGCTGTAAGTAATTTAAGGGGTTTATCACTCACACTTTGCAATAATGTGATTGAGCGAGTGGCAATAAAAAAATCCCAGAATAAAGTGAAGGTGACAGATTCCCCAAGAGCAAGGAAAGGTGCAGGGCAGGACAGCATTTCCCAGGGGTGCTATGGTGGGGGTTAGGAGGAGATTGGGCTGACCCAGGGGCTGAGGCACAGAGTGCCCTGGGACAGCTCTCCCCCAGCTTCACCTGCAAAGGAGAGCTGTCATCCTTCCATCCCCAGTGCTCAGTCACCCCCTCCTCTCTGGGTCTGATGCTTCCCAGACCCAGCAGAGCTCTCGAGCCCAGCTGGCAGAGCCCCCAGGCTCTGGGTGGTGACTGCAGCAGCTCTCTGCCTCCAGACCTGCTGATCCCCCACACCACTGCTTCTATTTGTCCTTGTGTTCAGGAGGATGCCTGGATTCCACCTGCTGAACGACCCAGCTGCTCAGTCAATGCAAGGAGGTCCCTCCTGTCCAGCCCAACTTCATGGATTGATGAAGAACAAAAGCCTAATCCTGAATTTCTCACCCTGTGCTCCACACACATCTCAGAGCTGTTTCTGCATTGACTTTCAGAGCCTTTGAATCCACTTTTCCCACGCTGAGACCAGGCTGGGGCTGTGCACTAACAGGAATGCCATAACTGCATCTCTCCCAGTAGTGAAATCTTGTTCAATACATTCTTAATATTCAATTACTATTTATGTAACACGCGGCAAAGGATTATCCCATTAAACTGAAATTAAGTGCTTCATTCATTAATTAATACATCTTATTTCAAGTGCTGCCAACATTTATCCCTAGAAACGTAATATTTAAAACCAAAACACACAAAACGAAGAGAAAGGAGCCTGTTTGCTTGTTGCTTTTACATTTGCTCAGAGGGCCCGCTGAGTTGTGGGGTGTGGGAAGGATCCAGCCAGCCCACGGGAGGGGACTTTCCCAGAGAGCAGCAGAGGGAGAAATCCTAGTATGCTGGACATGGTGTTTGTCTCCCTGGGTAAGGAGGCACTGGGAGGTCCATCCCTACATTTCCTCCGTTTCAGTTGGTTATTTCACCCCTAAACTACTCGGAGAGCCACATCCCAGCCCCACTCAACACCCACGGAACTACCCCAAGGAGAAATCGGCCCGTAAGACCCACAACACCGACAGCCAAGCGCCAGGAAACAGCGTGAAATCTAAATTAAGTCGAGAGTCTCTTTCCAAAACAAATTCCTCCTTGAAGAACCAAGCCCAGAATTCATTACAACAACTCAATTATCCAGGAGGCTGAGCTCGGGCAGACAAGAGCTCCCCGCGAGCGCTTCACGCTCCGCTCCCGTCAGAGCCTCCCCTCCCAGCAAAGGGAGGGCTGGGACAGCACCTGCCTCCCAGCACCGCCCAAACACCAACCACAGCAGAGCAATCACAGCCCGGGGGCAGAACTGGAGCTCCTGCATGGCACAGTCTGGGTTCCACTCACTGCAGGGCCCCTCTCCAGCATGGAAGGGCAGGATTTGATCCCAGAAGTCCCCATCGCTCAGCAAGGGGAAGCAAATACGAGGCGTGAGAGCTGGAAATAATTTTTTAAGCCCCTGGGTCTCTCTCCCTGCCAAAGGAACTCAATAGGATTAATATTTTTTGAGCCATCTTTCACTCCAAATGATGTCTTCAGGAATCAAAGGACACTGCTGGCAGCTACAGCTGTGCAGGAGGAGGAGCTGTGCCCACAGAGGAGTCGGGGCACCCCTGGCGTGCCCAGACCAGGGGCTGTCCCAGGGCAGTGACAGGGGCTGGCTCAGGCACCCCACCAGAACCTGCCCGCCACCAGCAACTCTCCTGCAAACCCCTTCCCAAAATCCCCACTGTTAAGAGATGGCAACCCAGAGCAGTGACTTCCACCCACCAGCACAGAGGGAGCTGGGACCATCCTGCTCCAAACCCAGCTCAGGAAACACGAACAGGGGCCTCCATCCCTCTGGAAGCACCAAGGAATGTTTTCCCTCCTTTCCCTCCCAGCCACCATTATCTCTGTTTCCACCCGAGCAGCAGCTGCCCATGAGCTCACGGGGAGGTCACAAGATTTCAGCTTTTGTGCAGAAATCCATCCAACTGCCTCAGAAAAAAAAAAAAAAAAAAACCAACCTGCAGGAAATGTTGCTGTCCGTTATTTTCTAGAGTGAAGGAAGGGAAAAAAATAAACAGGAGAAGAATTTACAGGTAATTTCCTCGTCAAAAGTTCCTGTCTGTAAATACAATCAAGATAAGAGTGACATGGCAAATAGCTGCTTTTCTCTCCTGAATGAATTATTCAATTCACCACTGATCCTCTCTAACTGCTCCGGATTGCCTTCTGCTTCCCTTATTTATTTTACTTTATTTAGTTCTGTAGAGAAGCTCTGCCAATAATCGAAAAGAATTCAGGCAATTGCAGGATTCAACAAATCCCTCCTGCAGCCCCAGCAGCTCAGCCCGACCCCCGGCCCCCTCCCCAGGCTGCACCTTGCACTGATCCAGGTCTCCTCCTGCCCAGGAGCAATCCCTGAGGGCAGGTGTCCAGATTATCCTTCCCTTGGCATGGGAGCTGCATTTTGGGAGAGGATTATCCAGGCTGCAGAGGGCCCACAGAGGTGGGGGTGCCCCATTCCCAAAGGATGGAGAAAATCCCACCCAGCCCCCAGGAATGGTGATAACCCTGCTGAGCTGCAAACCAGCCCGGACCAAGCTGCAGGCTGGTGTGTCAGGAGATCAGGGGCTGCCACATGCAGGCAAATTCTCCTTGGTCATGTCCCTCAGTGGCTCTCCCCTGGAGAGAGAACAGCCCCTGGGAGGGAGTGGGGATTCCCCACCCCACACACCCGTGGGAATTGTCTTGGGACAGACCAGAATCCCAGTAACACATCAATAAGCAGCCACGCTGCAGCCAGCACTGAAAGCAAGGAACTAACATTACTACTGAAAAACCCGCTCCACAGCCACAGCAAAGCTCATAAAACTGTGACTTGAGAACAGAACCGTTTCGCAGCAGCCCAAGGACAGCCCCGACGACGGTTCAATCACACGGAGGGTCAGCGTCAGTCTGTCCACACAGCCCAAAGTTCCTCCACGAGCTCTGGAACCGAGGGGCAGGTGACAACTTCATAGACCCCCAGCCCAGGGATGGGGACCCCAAAGAACACAAAAGGGGGAGCAGCAAAGCACAAACCAGACAAACAAACCCTCCTTCGAATCACAAACAAATCACGTGCATTTCTGGTTTTCCCCCGGAGCAGGTTTCAGGCAGGGCGACACTTCTTTATGTTATCGATTAGCAATTAGAGAGGTGTTTCAGCTGCTTCTCTGCTGTGTCCCTGCTATTCCCTCCAGAATTTCAATTCCACAAGAGCTATTTCCACCCAGCCGGGAAAGCAGCACTGCCTGACCCCCCACCCTCACACTTGCCAAAAAGCCCCGGGGAGGAGTGGGGAAGGCAGCGTTTGGAGAAAGAAAAATAGTCTGGAAAGGAGAAGAAATAATCTCGATTCAATTCAGCAGGAAGCTTCCCCCTTAGCTTTTGGGAAGGGCAGGATGCTCCTGAGCAGAGCAGTGCTGGGGATCACAGGCAGCGGCTCCACACTGGGCACAGGGCTGGGATGAGGAGACCTCTGGGCTCCGTGGGCACAACCAGCTGAACCTGCTGGTGCCTCTGTTTGCTGTCACCCACATAGGGGGGCCCCATGAAATGCCACCACAAAGTCCAACAGCCATCACAAGAGCAGCATGAGGGGCAGGAGCCGGGAGAGGAGGCTCTGTGGGAAGAAGGCTGGGTTGGACAGGCCTTGGAGCAACCTGATCTAGTGGAAGGTGTCCTATGGCAGGGAGTGGAACAAGACGGTCTTGAAGGTCCCTTCCAACCCAAACCAGTTGAGGATTCAATGATTCTATGAGTGATAGAGACTCACACTAAAAGCCACAAACCCCAGCACATCCCGGCCAAGAACTGATGGAGGAAAACCGCCGGCATCTCCGAGGATGCGCCGAGGCCAGACCCCTTCTTCAACAGCAATTTTCAAACCTTTTTATTTGCTTCCTTGTAAAAAGGAGGAAATAAAAGAAATAACAAACTGATTTCAGATAATTCACCGGGGCTGTGAGTGCATTGTAAATGTGTGCTTCAGCCAAGCGGCAATTTGCTGAATTTCACAGAGCGCTTTTGTGTTGCTGTTTGCCGAGCAACATCCTCCTGGAAACTGTGCCTGCCTTAATGCTCTCCTTAGCACACGGCGTAATTGCCCCCTGCAATTTGTTGCCTGGAAAGGTTACCACAAAAGAAAGGAAGGAAGAGAAGAACAACTTTGTTGGCAGGGGAACAAGGGAGAAGGGGAGAGAGAAAGCTGACGGCGTTTGAAACACAATTTATTCCAGGCCAAGGGATGCCAAAAGGTGCAGGGCAGCCCCACTCCCCGGGTGAGGGGCTTCCCCCACGCCCACAGACCAGGCTGACAGGGATGGAACTGTCACAGCTCCCACATGGATGGGGTCCAACCAGTCAGACTGTCCCCTGTTCCCCCCTGCAGCTGCACCGGCTGGACATCCCCACTCACCCTGGACATCCCCACTCACCCTGGACATCTCCGCTCACCCTGGACATCTCTGCTCCCCCTGGACATCCCCGCTCCCCCTGGACATCTCTGCTCCCCCTGGACATCCCCGCTCCCCCTGGACATCTCTGCTCCCCCTGGACATCTCCGCTCCCCCTGGACATCCCCGCTCCCCCTGGACATCCCCGCCCACCCTGGACATCCCCGCTCCCCCTGGACATCTCCGCTCCCCCTGGACATCCCCACTCCCCCTGGACATCCCCGCTCACCCTGGACATCCCTGCCCACCCTGGACATCTCCGCTCCCCCTGCACCCTCCAGCCCACGGGACCCCACGAGGCCGAAACGACACCAGAGAGGTGGTGAGCAGGAGGACAAACAGCAAAAGCAAAGGAGGAAGCAGACAGGAAAGGCAGGAGGAAATGGCAGGGAAAGGCTGGAGCAGGGCTGGGAGGGGGTGGCAGCGTGGAGGCAGCAGCCTCTGTTTATTAATTTTCTGCTTGGCTGCGCTCGGTGCCAGAGCTCCGGGATCGTGGAGCCGCTCCACACTCTATTAAATAATTCAATCTGCGAAGAATCCAAGTGTGTAAGCGAACACTCTTATGCGTCTTAAAATTTAATTGCGGAGCTAAACAAGATGAAGTGCAAGGAAGACATAAAAGATATGAAAATAGATGCCGCAGCTTTTGTTTCTCTGGCTGCCCCGGCCCTGCCCAGGAACCTCTCCCCATTTTTCACACGCCGCCACTAAAGAGCCTGAGCCTCCTTCATCTGCTCCCCCCTCCTCTTTTCTATTTACAGCTGTGTTTGCAAGCAGCAGGCTCGCAAATCACTTAATATCCATTAGAGCAGCTCCATTCACTGTGCTGGCTCCTGCTCTGGCAGCCGTTCCCTTATAAATCCTCGTGTTCAAGGGTTTAGGGAATCAGCCGGGAGCACTTGCTGCAGCCACCCCTTTGCCCACCGCAGCCCGCGGCCTCCCCCTTCCCAGGCTGGCCACCAGCTCCTCACTCCTGCACAGCCCTCCTCCCCCTTTCATCCCACGATGAGCCCCATGCTCAGCACCCATAAACCAGCCCCTCGGGAGGGTCAGTCTCAGCTACCTGCAGGCCAGGTGTAACCCAGGCCTTCCTGCACAGCTTGGCTGGAGGGATGAGAGCAGCCCACACACTGTGCCATGCCCAGCGAGCCTGGGAAACCTCAGACAAGGAGTGAGGGTCTTGGCTTTCACCTGGAAAGAGGGGCAAGTCCGTCCCTTGGGACTGGGGAGCAAAGGAGAACCCACCGCTCACCGAGGCTCAAAACCTGAGACCCCAAACCCAAGCAGGAACACTCATCAGCTCATTCCCAAGCCAGCCTCACATCTGAAGTGCCAGTGCCTGAGAACAGCCCTCAAGGTTCAAAGCCCAGATGTGAGCATCAGAGATTTGCTCAAAACGCCTGCAAGTGCACAACCAGCTGCTCCTGCCCCCAGAGCAACACACGGGCTCGGAGCTCGTCCCACAGCCCTGGCAGCCGGTCCAGAGCTGCTCCCACCTGCTGTCAGAGCAGCTCCCGTGGGGCTGGATCCCAGTTCTCAGCCACTGACCTGCAAAGATCCCAGGAGGGGGGCCTGGGGTGGGAACAGAGGGCTCCTCAGCTGCACAGGGTCTGCACCTCCCAGCCCTGCTCACAGCTCCAGCTGCAGCAGCGTCGCCACACAAACCATCGCTGCAAAAATCAGTCACACAAAGTTGGTGCATTTTCCTCCCTGTGCTGAAAGATCAATCACAGTCCTGGCTCGTGGCAGGAACAGTGAGCTCAACCCCTCCTGCACCCAAACAGGGTGTCACTGGGATTTCAGCTTTGTTATTACACAAGGGCTCGCAGGTGCTTTAATATCATCTCTTCTTGCAAAGGGCAAGAAGTGAGACCTCAGGCTGCTTTATCTTCATTTGTTTTTCTGCTGAGCTTTTTGCTGTGGATGGGCTGTTACACGGGCTGTTGGGATGCCAACTGCTGCAAACCCCTGCAAACCTTCACCGCTTCAATCTCCTGAGCAGCCTCCTGCTCCCTAAAAGGGAGGGGGGGGTGTTTGCTGGATGGGGGACAAGCAGCTGAGACAGCAAATCAATAAGGTGCAAGCAAATACATGAACTTTGCCGGAGCAGCCCGTGGCCACAGCACGCTGGGACAGGGGACCAGCAGTACCAGCTGCACTTGGATGCCCTCTATAAAAAATGGAGAGGGATCACCCAGCACTCCACACCCCCCCCCCGCACGCCCCGCTGTGCCACACCACTGCTCTAACATTTACAGTGATTGACGGGTGGCAGAGCAACAGGTGAATTAAACAGGCACCAGCTCCGACAGGATGGTGGTAAATGTCATAAAAGATCAGCCATCCTATGCCGAGCGTGGCTTTCCCAGCGCTCAGCGAGCCGGCCGAGGGGGTGCAGGGGAAATGCCGACTGCAGAGAGGAGCAGGCAGAGGGGAGGGGAGGTTTGGAGGGTGCTGAGCTCAGCTCAGAGCCTCACCAGGAGCCTTTGGTTTGGATCCGTCAGGTACAACCCTCGAGAGCAGGGGATCACGTCCTCCCCCCGCACAGGCACCTCCCAGCTCAGATCCTGCAGGGCACTGCGTGTCCTCCCTCCCCTGCCACACGAGCACCATCGAGCAGGTGTGAGATTCACCCACCGGCTGTTTCCAGATGGCAATCCAAGACATGCCAACGCCACCAGCCTCCCGGGACCTGCCTGCCTTGTACAGTGCCAGGAGCCACATGAAAAATGACTGCATTTCACAAGGACGTGCCTCTTCCCAGCTCCCTCGCCCTCCCCACACAACACGTTCCTCCAGGACAACCCAAAGAGAAAATAAAATCTGTATTCAAAGGATACCTGCCCTAAAATAATGTTATTTTGCAGTAGTGCCACTTTAAATCTCAAGCAATTGAAAAACCAATTTGCACTTAGAAACATTCAATTTGTTTGCAGGTGTTTTCCTCTTAAGTGGCACTGGGTAATCGGGGCTGGCAGCACGCAGGGGAGCCCCAGACAGGTGCCACAGACCCAGACCCAGCCCAGCCAGGGCCCCTGTGAGACATGACAGGAGAGTCACGGGGCTGCAGCACAGTCTCTGCACCAGGAAATTAATTTGTCATGTCAAACGAAATGGGAAGAGAGAGGGGCTGAGCTGAACATCCTGCCAGCACGTGCAAACCTTCCCTGGTGTGCAGGGGAGACCCTGGTCCTGTGGACATGGCGAGGGTGGAGAGGGACACGGGGCAGAGAGGGAGACACAGGGGAAGTTTGGCTCTTTGCCCACCTGAGAGTCAGAAGGTGAGAAAGTTGAAGGAGGGAAAAGGGGCCGAGGGGTTCTGCTGCAGGACAGCTGCTGGCAACTGCTGACGTGGGATGGAGCTGCCAAGAGAGTCTGGCCACAAGATTTCCTCTTCTCAGTAAGAAGGAAGAGTGACTAACCCCAAACACAACTCATACATCAGCTTCATCGATCTCCCTGACACCCAGTGCCCCCGTCCCTCACCGTGCACCAGCTGCCTTGAGGTGTGAGGCTATTGATCCCCCGGATGCCCGTGTGATTGGAGTCCACAATCTAATGCCTGAGAAGTCCAGCCAAGCCCAAACCTCTCAAATCATGCTGACATGTTTAGGAGGTGCCGGGCGCTTCATCCTGCCGGTCCGATATGTAATTATGTCCGTGTCACTGTGATGTAGGGCCCTGGCAGGGCAATAAAGCCCCGGGGCCCACGGCCCAGCGCTGCCGGCGAGAGCTGCCAATCCCTGGCTGCAGTTAGAGCGGAGGAAACAGAGCTCAATAAAGAGGTGCACGGATCACAGCGGCCAGTTTGTCCTGAGGAACAGCTGGAGGAGATGTCAGGGGCTGCTGTCACCCCGGGCCCCCACGGCTTTGAGTGTCACTCACTCCCTGGCCCTCCTGCTGCAGGCTTCGAGCCAGGGAACGGGGGGAGCGAGTGAAAGCTGGGCAGAGCAGAATCTAACCCTGCACTTCTCATTCCTCTTCTTCAGATGTCACCATCCTGATCACACCAGACCCTCCAGAGAGTGCCAACCCCTCCCGCCACACGTGGGGATGGGAACGAGTCCTGGTGCCTGCTGGGCACGCGGTGCTTCTCAGTCTCTCTCTCTCTCCCAAGGCACAGGGGGTCACAGTGCCCTTTGCTGCTGTCACAGCTCATCAGGCTGGAAGGGCATCAGGGGCTGGGGTTTAGCGTGGCACAGCCAGGTCCACACCAGCCTCGTGCTGGGCTGCAGCAGCACCCGTGGCAAATTCCCTCACTGATTCCCTAATCCCTTCAAAGCCCTCAAAGGTTTTGCCACTGCTCAGGAAGCTCCCCACCAGCTGTGCTGGGATGGGGTGCTGGGAGGCAGTAGAGCTGCTCTCCTGGCTGATGTTCCCTCAAAGAGCACAAACAGTTCCCAGCAGCTCGATTCCTCCCCTCAGGGCTTGGGAAGCATAATTTTTCTTCACTAATACATCTTTTGCTTGATGAGCTGTCGATGGCAGGAGGATTTAATCTCCCATACCCTTATTCTCTCCCAAATCCACTAAGGTGAAGGCACTTCATTACAGAACCACTCAGCTGTCCGTTCCTATCGATCACACCTTGGCATGGGTGACCTTGGATCGATGAGCTGCCGATTATTTAGTGCCTGTTTGCCCACACCAAATGCCAGCAGGGTCAGTCCCAGCACCTGCACCCAGCTCTTCCTGCAGCGAGGAGCCTGGCACAGCTCCATCCCCAGCAGCTCGCAGGCAGGAGCAGGGACAGAGCCACCTCCAACACCACATCAGACACCGGGGTTTGCCATCTGGGTACAATTTGTCTCTTTCTCAAGAGGATTCAGGCCTGGGGTTTGACATTTCCCAGTTTAAAGACCTGTGTCCTGCTCCAAGGGTCCATGCCAGGCAGCACCTCTGCTGCAGTGCAGTCCCACTCCTGGCTCTGTCCACAGCCTCTGGGCAACTTCCCACCTCAGCTTTGCCTCCACTAACCCAAGATCCCCATCAGGAAAAGAGCAGCAAGACGCAGGACAAGGCGGTGATGGGCAGTGCTGCTCCTCAGCCCAGGGCTGTGAAGAGTCCCCTCGCTCTGCTCTAACGCTGGTGATTCATCCGCCTCCCAGACGTCCCCTCCAACCGGCTACTGCCTTACTTTTTAATCAAATCCTTTGCTTCCCTTCCCTCCAGGAGCCAGAGCCATTTTTCTATTACCTCCTGATTGATCAGGCCCTCGCGAGCCGCCTGTCGGCGTCGTCCTGGTGCTTCATTTCCCATCCCCACCCAGCGGGCTCTGGGCTCAGCCCGCGCTCCAGCGGCGCCAAACACACGCACAAACACTCGCAATTAAGGACAGGAGGCAGGGGGAAAATTGATCCTACTTCTGATTTGATGCCCCCAGCTCCCAAGCCTGTATCAAAGAGTGGGAGCAGCCAGCGTTAACCCCGAACACGGGAGCTGAGGAGGGGCAGGAGGACACGGGGGTGAGCCCACAGTGTTGCTCATTGCCAGGAGAAAGAGACTCCATCCTTGTGCTGTGCAAAAAAGCAGGAGGAGAGTCTCCAGGGCTCCAGTGTTCCTCGTGCTAATGAGTTGTTTTTCACTGTAAGAAACAAGGAGAAAAAGCCCAGAATCTGTTAAACAAGGACTGTGGCTGTACCAGGCCAAAGATCAGACACCCCTCGAAGACAGTGCTGACAAGATGGTAAAAACATGGAATTATACCTCTTTTCCCTCCCTCTCTATCGCTCGGCAAATTAAATTACTCCAATGTGTGCATGTGAGGCCAGAAAGGGCACGGTGGTCCCTTGCCTGGGCTGGGTGTTCCTGGGATTGCTGCAGACTGGGAAGCAGCTTTGGGAGGGTGAGTTGTACCTGTGCTCTGCAGGACAGGCCCAGGACACGAGCCTGGCTGCCTGACCAATGCAAAACCCCCACGTCAGGTGAACAGAGAGGCTGGACAAGTCCACCCTCATCGCTCTGTCCTCACGTCCCATCCCCTCTCCCAGCGAGCCAGGGACGCGCTGGATCAGGCCACGCTCCCCCCAGCCCGCCCTCTCCAGCTGCTGGAGCTGCCTTATCTGTGCTGGCACAGGAGCACAGGGCAGCTCTGCCATCAGCCATCGGCGGATTACGGGGGGTTATCACTTCATTAGGGGACCAAAGGCGCTCAGCAGAAGGTTCTGAGACTGTGCGAGCGGCTGATAAGAACCTGCCCGGCTCCTCAGACAGCTCAGCCACGCCTGGCACAGCCCTGGCTGCGGGACCCTGGCACAGAACAGGCGCTTTGGGCACTGACAGCGCTCGGGGAAGGGCAGCAGCGCTGCCTGGGGCACGGGGGATCCCCTGGCAGCACCACCCGCTCCCCCTCCAGCGGGGCCAGGGTCCCCAGCCCTGGGCTGGTGCTGCTCCCCCGGCTGTGCCCCCCATCCGGCTGCCCCACCGTGCTCAGCCCCACACCCTCTGCCCCGGGGACCGACCCCACCGGGCTCTGCCAGGGCAGCCGGGGGTCCCTGGCAAGGTGGCAGTGCCAAAAAAGATCAAAAACCCAGGGTGGATGAAGCACCAAGGCAACACATGTGAGAGCATCAATGGAAAATCCCCAAGAGGT